AGACGTCCCGCGAACCCAAAAGGCTTCACCCCCCCACTCCTCCGGGATGCGACACCCTCACACCGCTCGCGGACCGGGCAGGGCTTGATTAACTCCGCGCTAACGAGGAGAAGCAGCGACGGCCACCGCCACCCCTATAGAGGGCCCTATAGGGAGAGACCCCTCCCCAAAGGGCAAGAGCGCCTGCAGGTACGGGTTCCTTCGGGAAAGGCGGATCCCTTAGGGAAGGAGCAGTTGCCATAGGGGGCGGGTAAGGCAGCTCCTATAGGGGCTATAGGGGACAGTGGATCCCCCGTGGAGGACAGCCTGTGGAACAGGGACAACCCAGGTCCCTCACTGGGGGAGCAGCCTGGGGGGTCCCTATAGGAGCTGCTATAGGGTAGGTGATGCCCTGGGGAGAAGAGCCCCTATGGGTACCGCTATAGGTTGAGCGCACGCCCAGGACAAGGGCTCCCATAGTGACAGCCCCTATGGGAACTTCTGCAGGGCAAGGCTCCCCCCAGAGCAAAGCCCCTACAGGCCCAGCCCCTATAGGTTCCGCCATAGGGCAGGGCATGGCCCAGGAAGGACAGCCCATATGGCCCCAACTCCTATAGGCTCTGCCATAGGGCAGGGCACCCTCCAGGAAGGACAACACCTACAGTCCCGGCCCCTGTGGGCTTTGCCGTGGGGCAGGACACATGCCAAGGACAAGAGCCCCTACGCGCCCAGCCCCTATAGGCTCTGCCATAGGGCAGGGCACACCCGGGGAGGACAACACCGACAGACCCAGCCCCTACAGGCTGCGTCATAGGGCAGGGCACCTTCCTGGGACAGCAGCCCCTATAGCCCCGGCCCCTATAGGCTCTGCCATAGGGCGAGGCACACCCCAGGGAGGGCAACCCCTATAGCCCTGGCCTCTATAGGCTCTGCCATGGGGCAGGGCACACCCCAGGGAGAGCAGCCCCTATAGCCCTGGCCCCTATAGGCTCTGCCATGGGGCAGGGCGCACTCCTGGGACAGCAGCCCCTATAGCCCTGGCTTCTATAGGCTCTGCCGTGGGGCAGGGCACAATCCTGGG